AGTCAAGGGAAATACAATCCTTTCCCCAAAATACATAAAATATATAAAGAGCTATCATATGGGACCGTGCTTAGATGACACAATGAGCAACAGGGGCAAGGCAATATCAGTGCTTCCAGTCCAAATGAACTCTTTTGTGAAGCAGTGAGCTCTCTAATACTTTGAGTACCATAGGAAACATGGGTGCATCTCATAAGCTGGCTATAACAGAAGGATTGAGGGACAACCAGATGGTGACTTAAGCCCTTTACAATGTTGAGATTTGACACCCCTGTGAAAAACAAGATCCAGGTTCAGACTAAACATTCTAAAGACACCATTAGCTTTCCTTGAGCATAAAGTCCTTGCCTCAGCAACTATCTAACAACACAGATAGCCATAAACTTACCGACACTTGGCCATTGATGATGACCTCCTCTGAAAAGCGCACTTTGACAGGATTAGACTTTAATCTTGCCTTTTTCGCAGCACTAATAAATGCTGATTTGGGAGACTAGAAGAAAAGAAAATATTTTATCTGATTACTGGCATCGTTTTATCAACCTTGTGGCAGTTGTTTTCATCTTTATCCTCAAAGATATATGACATTGTTGCTAAAGGGTAAAATATTTGGTACATGTCCAATTCAAGGACAAACTACAAATTATGGATGTAATTGAAACTGTGCCATGAATATCAATTAATAATCTTGATTTAGTGGCCAGACCAGAAGTCCAGTGGGTTCCATTTTTTAATGAGTGAGTATACTCATAAGGATCTTAAGCCTTGCTTCTCAGGCAGAACTCTGAACACAATGTGCAAGAGAGGTGGTAGGAAGATATAATGTTAGATTTATGATGTGCTGGTCATTAACCTCATTTCAGTGAGGGGAAGATGACCTTTTGATAGTTCTAAAATGCCCAACACTATCATTGCTATTTATTTTAATGATAAGTGACTGTGATGGATAGCTTTTGTGTCAACTTGACACACCTGGGTTGAGGGAGCCTCAATTGGGGAATTGCCTTCATTGGACTGGCCTGTGGCCATGTCTGAGAGGCATCTTCTTGATGAGTGATGTGGGAGGGCCCAGCCCACTGTGGGTGGTGCCACCCCTGGGCAGGTGGGACTGTGTTGAATAAGAAAGAAGGCTGAGCAGGGCCCAGGGAGCAAGCCAGTAAGCAGCGTTTCTCCATGGCCTGTGCTCCAGCTCCTGCCTCCAGGTTCCTGCCCTGAATTCCTACCTTGGGATCCCAGATGAACTGTGATCCAGGATATGTAAGGTAAATAAACCATTTCCTCCTGAAGTTAGTATTGGTCAGAGTGTTTTGTCACAGCAATGGAGAGACAAACCAGGACAGTGACCATATCAGCAGTAGAGTACACAGCTCTTTCTCTGTTAAGTACTCATGCTTTATATTCGCCCAACCTAAGTTTCAGCTTTATGCATGTAATATGTGATCTCTGTTCTTACTGGACAGAATATAGAGAAGACCTTGGCTTAGAATGAAAAGTTATATTACAGACTTCATAATCTGCCTCATCTTATAGGTGCTTTTTATTTTATGATCCTTTTTTCCTGATTTTCTTGGAGATAAGCACCGAATGACATAGTTCTGCCGCAGAAAGAGGAAGTGCAATGGAAGACTCTGCTTAGAAGACTGCTGGGATCCAGGGGATCCCTTGCTGCAAGGCCATGGTCAAGTCACTAGACCTGAAAATCATCCATGTGTAATTTTAAACTCATTCAAGGAAAAGAGAGTTCCCATCTAATTGACGCCTACTTGTCGCTGGTATCATGGATTATTTTACAATTGCATCCCTACTGAACCTACCATAGAACCATATGATTACAAGTTTACAAGTTAAAATGACAAAATACTGGTAATTGCCTAGCATACAGACTGAGTTTCATGCTGTATATTACTAGCGCACCGAGGCTATTGCAAAATACATTATAGTAACTCATTGTAGAATACACAGAAAGGCTTAGCCTGGTGTGTATCATATAAATCTCATGGCCCCAAAGCTATTTAACATGACTATACTTTTTCCATACTTTTCCAGTAAAGTAATTAAAAAATTAAGATAGGTCTCCCATGTTTGCCAAATAAAAATATCCTGGAAATCAATAAAATATATAAAATATGATATGCCCATACAATGATATATTGTTCATCCATAAAAAGGAAGGAGGTACTAAACCATCCTATAATTTGGATGGCTCTTGAAAACATGATCCTGACTGAAAGAAGCCATGTATGTGATGCAAAATACTATGTGATTCTATTTATATGAAATAACTAGAATAGGAAGACCAGAGATAGAAAATAGATTAGAATTGTTAGTAGTAGGCAGAAGAAAAGTGAGGAATGAATGTTTAATGGATTCAGAGTTTCCTTTAAGGTTGATAAAAAGTTCTATAAATAAATAAAAGTGATGCTTATGCAATATCATGAATCTCTTTACCATTACTGAATTGTCTGCTTAAAAATGGCATATTTTATGTTATGCATGTTTATTTCATTAGAATTAAAATCATTGTTGAAAGTATGTGATGAGAACTATATATGTTCTTGGGTAGAGTTTTTGCCTTAATATTGGGAGACTTGTTTTTTTATTTTTAAGTTATTATAATTAAAATATTTTATTTATTATTTTCATTTTAGGTGTATGAGTGCATTCCCTGCACGCATGTAAGTGAACCCATGTTGTGCAGTGCCCTTGGAGGTCAGAAGAGGGCATTGGATCCCCTCGAGCTGGAGTTATGCCCTGTGGGTGCTGGGAATTGAACCTGGGTTTTCTGCAAGAGCAGCCAGTGCTCTTAACCACTGAGCCTCTCTCTGCCCCCTATTTTTAAATTATTTAAAAATTATTTTATTATATGTATATGAGTGTTTTGCCTGCACGTATATAAGTGCACCATGTGAATGCAATGTGCGTGGAAGCAAGAAGAGAACCTGGAACTGGAGTTACAGGGCAGTAATTAGCCATTCTGTAGGTACTAAAGCTGAACTCAGGTCCTCTGCAAGAACATTCAGTGCTCTTAAGCACTGAACAATCTCTCCAGCCCTTGGTTGTTTATAATTGAGATAGGGTCTTGTTATGAATTCACAAGTCTGGCTGGCTTGGAATTCTCTATGTATCCCAGTCTGAACTTGAACTCATAATCCTCCTGGCTCAGCCTTCCTAAGCTTAAATAACATATTTGTGCCACCATGCTAGCTGATATAATTTCTAAAGTTCTGCTGCTTCACACCTGTCTGAAACTATCTGAACTGTGAACAGTGTCTTAGAAGAAGAAATGAATGGATGACTTTTCTTCGAGAGCTTCAATTCCCCCATTTATGCAAGATATTTTAAAAATAATGGTTGCAGGGGCTGGATAGAGTCAGCAGTTAAGAACACTTGCTGTTCTTCCAGAGGTCCTGGATTTGATTCCCACCACCCACATAGTGGCTAACAAAGTTCTGAAACTCCAGTTTCAGGGGATCTGACACCCTCTTCTGTCCTCTGTGGGCATTGCACAACATGGGTACAGTTACAGACATCCAGGCAAAATACTCATACACATAAAATAACAATAATAAAATATTTTAAAAGATAACAGTTTCCCTCTTAGAAAACAAAAATTCCAAAAGAATACTGAGCACGTGTTCCTTAAAAAGTCTCAATCTTCAGTATACTCAATGTGCGTTTTAGATGTCATAATACATTGCTGAAGAGATGGGATGGTGGTATTCTCATCAGTGACTATGTAATTATAGGCCAACTGTAGTGATGATTAATGAGCAAATCATACTGTGGTGAGTTCATTTGCCTTTGATGTGCCATTTTTCAGCTGAAGAAAAACATTATTCTCCCTTAATGATTTTGAACAGGCAGTACTTACACTGGCACCATGAGTTTAGCACAAGTAAAAAGGCTGCAATAAAACTGTTCAGAACAGGCACTACTGATAAGATGAGATGTTTCAAAGAAATAACACCCAAATTCTCAAGCTTTTTGGGGGAATAAAATATTCCACTTGTTCACGGTACCACATACTCAACTCTTACTTCTCTGTTCATCTAGGCTTTTCAATTTAATAACTTACTATATTTTTTCTAGACTGTTCTACACAATTTCTTGCCCCAATAAAATTGTACTTAACAGAAATGACCTTATGAAAGTATGTCATTTGATATATTTTAGATTAGAGTGATGCTCCCCAGGTTTATTTAAACATATAACAGTCTTTGTCCATGTTATGGCGTGGATATGAAATTCCCTGCACAGACTTACATGGTGAATACTTGGTCCTCAACTGGTGGTATTATTTTTGGAGGGAACAGAAACTTTGGAATATAGACTGAGGCAATAAGTCACTGGGTATGATGCTTAATACTGTTAATTTTATATGATCTGAAATCACTTATGAGATAAACCTCTGGGCCTGCATGTGAGGGATTATCTAGATTAGGTTAAATGGGCCAGGACGAGTCATGTTAACTGTGGGAGGCACCATAGCCTGGGCTAGGGTTCTAGATTGAATAAAGAGAAGAGAGACTGAAGACATGGCTCAATGGTTAAGAGCACTTACTGCTCTTGCAGAAGACCCAAGTTTGGTTCTTAGGACCAAAATGGTGTTTCACAACTGTCTGTAACTCTAGTTCCAGAGTTTCAGAGGGATCTGATGGCCTCTTCTGGCCTCCACAGGTACTAGGCACATAATTGGGATGCATACATACATGAAGGCAAAATACTCATAGATATAAAATGAAATAAATATATTTAGACTATATATATATATATATATATATATATATAGAGAGAGAGAGAGAGAGAGAG